GACCACAGATGCCTCAGAAATATTGCTGGCGTCTGCTGGGATCACCGGGTAAGTAATAGTGAGGTTAGACGCAGGGTATTAGGGAATGATGGTAAATCAGTCGATGAGGTTGTGAATCTTCATCGACTGAGATGGTTGGGTCACGTGTTACGTATGCCTGAACGCCGATTACCACGACGTGCAATGATAACCGGTGTTGGGGATGGTTGGAAGAAAGTTAGGGGTTGCCAAACCAAAACGTGGCATCAGTGCTTGAAGTCACTAACTTCTAATCTGAGCCATGTTGGTAGATGCAGACTACTTGGTTGGGGTCCGCGTGACTATCGTAACCAATGGTTGGAGACTCTTGGTGACATGGCTCAGAATCGATCACAATGGTGTCGGTGTATACACTTTCTGTCTTCCCTCAAACCGTGAGATTAAGATCGCTTCATATCTTTCTACGGACTAATTCTTTCTTCCTGTACTATGTCCTTATATGCTATCTTTGCTTTATATATTGCCACCACTGAATTAACTAGTTTTATGAATTCGGTGTTCATTTTGTTGTGCTAATGAGGTATGGCAACTGTTATATCCGAGTGGAGATTAAATTACAGGTAACTTCCGAGGACTATTCATGGACTAATATTCTATAAATATTCTTATTGTATAACTACTCAACAATTACACTATGTATATTTATATCCCTCTTATGACAAGCTTTATTTTGGCCTATAATTTATTATTGTACGATTTACGGTTCTTAAGTTATGTTCAGTTTATTAACTACTGCCTCCCACATTCACAGCCACTTTCTGGGCTTATTTGTGTACAAATATTATTTCCTATTTTATGGTACGTTGCGGTCTGTGTGATTGATATATAAACCAAGTATGCCTGAAATAAACGATCTGCTCTGATTCGGAAGCTGGTATCTTGTTCTGGACTCAAGTGGGAGGGCTCTTAGGACATAGGACCAATAAGGACACTAAACTGCCCACACCGGTTGAACGTCATTGGTTGGCCTAGTGTGAAGATTCGTATAAGTCGTATTCGGATTGGTAGATAAGTCGTGTGATCGAAAAGTCAGGCATCCAAGGTCATAACAGCAACTTGGACCGATGCATATATGTGCCTGGTCCTACGTTGTAGCTGACTGACTGAGTGGATACTTGCAGGAGGCTCTAGAATCTCGTGTAAAATCTATAAAAATACTAACATTTTTCTTACTGTGATTCCTACTTTCATCTACCCTTGTTATTTGGAATATAATTTCGTTCTTGTTCAACCGAATGTCCGGCGCTTTAACCGGATTCCAAATCAATGGTGCACATGGGCTCCAGTATCCTGCGGGAACAAATGGCGTATGAACCAATCGTTGGTCACCGGCTATCATGGGATTGCATCTCCTTACGATGCTCCACTGCCTTGTGGGTTAGACCTTTAGGTCAAAGGCTCGGGGAGTGGCCCCCTAAGATAACCACCTGCTTCGGTTTGGGCACCCGGGCAGTATCACAGCCCACACACAAATTGATGAACTCTTTATGCCTATGGAAATTACCTTTCTCGCTTTGAAAAACAAACAATTGATTCAGATTATTATCATTACAATTATTGTCATTAATAATACTGTTATTATTATTACTATTATTACTATTACTATTATTATTATTATTATTATTATTATTATTATTATTATTATTATTATTATTATTATTATTATTTTCCACATTATTCACCCTCTTTTATACTTATACAGCGGCTCGTCTTTGGTGGAAATTCGACTGTATCTAAACGTTCTCGAATCACTGTCCGGTTGAAAATTGTATGTTACCACTGAATATGAGTACTGAAGGAGTTTTTCTGAAACCACGTGCGCCATTCAAACTGGCTGCCTTCAACGTTCGCACATTTATGCAGGTCGGACAACAGATAGGGCTGGCTATGTCTTTGGAAAGTCTTAATATTGATGTTTGTTGTCTATCCGAGACCCGTATTCAAGACTCTGGCGAAGTACTACAAATTCGATCTCCATCTGTTGCTTCGAAAAGCTATTTTTACGTGCGCTTATCCGGGTCCCTGTGGCATCTTCGTCTGGTCTTGCTGGCGTTGGTGTCGCACTAAGTGCTAGAGCTGAGGCAGTACTAATCAATTGGATCCCCATTAACAGTCGGTTATGTGCTGTTAGATTAGAAAGTTCCATCAAAGTGAGAAGAAATCGGCGTGAGAAACGATGTCTCTTCGTCATCTCCGCCTATGTCCCGACAGATTGCAGCCCAGATGCAATCAAGTATGAGTTTTACCACCAGTTATCTGTTCTTCTCCAGAAAGTGCGTTCGACAGATATTGTAGTACTAGCCGGAGACTTGAATGCTCAGGTCGGGCGTCTAGGCACAGTCATCGTCGATGTGCCACCTGGCGTCCTCCCTCTGCATCTCAAGCCTGGACTCAGATTGATCACATCGCGATCAGCTACCGCTGGCGTGGTTGTGTACAAGACTGCCGCTCCTTTTGGAGTACCTATCTGGACTCTGACCATGCCTTGGTCTGCGCCAATCTTGCCTTACTTTTCAGTGGACAACGAAGTGACCCCACCAACGGATTGATGTTAGCAAGCTGGTTGCAACTTCTGTTGCAAGTAAGTATCGAACCGAGCTAGCCTCTAGGCTAGCTACCACTCCACCGAAAAGTATAGATGAGCATTGGTTGCAATTGCATGACGCCATGAAAATGGCGGGAACAGTCAGTTGTGGGTTTGCGAAACGTCCCGCTTTTAAGCACTGGGTTTCTTCTGGTTCCTTACAACTCATTGAAGCCCGTCGGTCTACTCCGGGTGACCGTGAGTTTGACCATAAACGAAGGATGTTACGTAAGGAAATTGGGCAAAGCTTGCGTAAGGACCGAGAAGCCTGGTGGTCGATGCGTGCTAATGAGCTGGAAGCAGCAGCTGCATCTGGTAACTACCGGAAGCTCTTCCAGCTCATCCGAGCCACTGGCAGCAAGAAGTCTGGTGTGAGTGAAACAATCTGCGAGGATGATGGGATGCCAATCACTAACATCCATCGACGTCTTGGACGATGGGCAGAATTTTTCGAAGGGCAGTTCAACTGGCCTGCTGCTCCGGCAACATCGGTCAGACTGTCCTGCCCTCCATGGCCGGTGACGACTGATCCACCAAATGAGGAGGAAGTCCGCAAGGAACTCCAACTCTTGAAGCGTTACAAATCACCTGGCCCAGATGACTTACCTCCGGCTCTTTTTAAAGATGGTGGTGACTTTTTGACTAAGGAATTGACGACGTTGTTTACAAAGGTTTGGGAACTAGAGTGTGTACCAACGTCATGGAATGAGTCGATAGTTGTCCCTATCTTTAAAAAGGGTTCACGTCGTTCCTGTAACAACTATCGGGGGATAAGTTACTTCCGATTGCGTCCAAGCTATTGGCTTCCGTCATTCTTCGTAGGTTGTTCAAAACCCGAGAAAGATTGACTCGCGAGGAGCAGGCTGGGTTTCGTTCTGGTCGAGGATGTATTGATCATATCTTCACCCTCCGCCAAATGTTAGAACACCGCCATACTTTTCAAAGGCCAACAATCGTAGTGTTTCTTGACATCAGGGCTGCCTTCGATTCGTTGGACAGGACTGTTCTCTGGGATTGTCTATTGAAGAAGGGTGTGCCTGAGAAGTTTATTAACATCCTAAAAGCCCTATATAAAAACACCTCAGGCAGAGTGAGGGCATACAACCACCTCTCTCCATTGTTCCATTCGAGCAGTGGGGTTAGGCAGGGTTGCCCAATCTCACCATTCCTCTTCAACTTTGCCATCGATGACATTCTGGAAACAGCTCTGATGAATGTAAGTAATGGTGGTGTGGATCTGTTGCCTGGAGAAAGACTTCTCGACCTTGAGTATGCGGACGATATTGTCTTACTGTGCGATAATGCCCAAGGCATGCAATCCGCACTTAATCAGTTGGCAATCAGTGTCCGTAGGTATGGTATGTGCTTTGCACCTTCGAAGTGCAAAGTACTTCTACAAGACTGGCAGGATTCTAATCCTGTACTCACCCTGGATGGTGAGCAGATAGACGTAGTTGAGAAGTTCGTGTATCTGGGTAGCTGCATAAGTGCTGGTGGGGGTGTGAGTGATGAGATCAATGCACGAATAGTGAAAGCCAGAGCGGCTTATGCCAATCTGGGCCACCTTTGGCGCCTTCGTGATGTTAGTCTGGCTGTAAAAGGTCGGATCTACAACGCGTCGGTGAGAGCAGTTTTGCTCTATGCTTGTGAAACCTGGCCTCTCCGAGTTGAGGACGTTAGACGACTCTCTGTGTTCGATCATCGCTGTCTCCGAAGGATTGCTGACATTCAGTGGCAACACCATGTCAGTAATGCAGAGGTTCGGCATCGTGTGTTCGGGCACAGAGATGATAATTCAATTGGTGTCACCATCTTGAAACACCGACTTCGGTGGCTTGGACATGTTCTCCGAATGTCGTCCCAGAGAATTCCACGTCGTGCATTATTTGCCGACTCTGGGACTGGTTGGAAGAAGCGGAGAGGTGGTCAGTGCATGACATGGTGTCGTGGCATGAAAGAAAGCTGCAAAGGACTGGCTTGTGTTGGTCCTTCACGACTCCCTGGTTGGGGTCCGAGAGATGGTGCTACACAGTGGCTAGAGACGTTATCAGATATGGCTCAGAATAGAAGCCAGTGGCGATCCTGCTGTAACCTTCTTTTACTTTCTTCATAAAAAGTGGTTGTGTCTCCCTTACCTGAAAGATTTCTTCTGATTGTACCTTTGCGTTCCCTCGTTACTACCACACTACCTTACACCAATCTCTTCGTTGTTGCTCTTTTTTTGCGCTCCTTAGCTTTTTTTTTCTATTTCTCTTCGAATTCTCATTGTTTTGTGTGGCGCATATATATTGGCGCTCTCTTGTACCAATATTCATGTGTTCAAATAAATAAATAAATAATGTGTTCTGATTTGAGAACTGGTCGATTAAAGAAGCGTCCAAGAATACTAAGCAATAGGAAAAGTTGGGTCGTAATAAGAGAAATTATTATAGCTGCGACGGGGGGAAATGAGAATATATTCAAGATGCCAATATCAGATGACCAACTCAACCGAATACTTCATCAACAGCAAGCACAAATGCGGTTACTGGAGACTGACGAACAAGCCTAACATCCACTGCTCAAGTTCACACGTTATTTCAAATACTTTTTGTGGTGCAGTTGCTGGGAGCATCACAGACTTCATCTATGACCCGGAAAGTGGAAATGCCTTCCTCACGTCGTTCAAGCGTTGGAAAGATACATTTCGAATAGAATTCTGTAAACAAGATGACGAGTGGACGACTCGATTGTTGATGAGTAAGTTGGGAAGAAATGAACATGCACATTATGGTGACCAAATATTGCCAAAGTTATCTCGAGAACTCAGTTTCGAGAAGACAGTAACTGAATTGTCAGAGATATTCGATGACTCCTCTTCATTGTTTAGTATTCGATACCAATGTCTAAATTTGGTGAAACACGAAGCTGATGAATATGGTGCTCTAGCAGACGTCGTCAACAGAGTGTGTACGGTTCTAGTTATGCTCATTAAAAGAACAATTTATATGTCTAATATTCATCAAAGCTCTTCAGTCACCACAAGATGCTGAGACTATGACTGAACTTTTAATTCGACTGGACCAAAATCCAAACGTCACACTCAGGACATTGATGGATGAGTGTAGATGGCTAAAAAACATCAGACACGACAATAAGTTAATTGAACAATTAAATCCTAATTTAACCTGCAGTAGTGTCAATACTATCACTAGGTTAAGCTTGTTCGTCAGTCTCCAGTAATCGCATTTGTGCTTGCTGTTGTTGTAGTATTCGGTTGAGTTGGTCATCTGATATTGGCATCTTGAATATATTCTCATTTCCCCCCGTCGCAACTATAATAATTTCTCTTATTACGACCCAGCTTTTCCTATTGCTTAGTATTCTTGGACGCTTCTTTAATCGACCAGTTCTCAAATCAGAACACGGTTGAACAAGAACGAAATTATATTCCAAATAACAAGGGTAGATGAAAGTAGGAATTACAATAAGAAAAATGTTAGTATTTTTATAGATTTTACACGAGATTCTAGAGCCTCCTCCAAGTGTCCACTGGCGTTGATTGGTTAAGAAATAGCCAATCAGCGTTCCCCAACATCCTGCATGGAACGTTCTTTACTTCAATCTATATTGCGGTAACAGGACTAGAAATCTAATCCACAAGACAGTGGAGTATCTTTAGGACATGCAGTCCCATGACAACTGGTGGCCAACGTTGGGCTCATACGCCATTTGTTTCCTTAGGGACCTGGATCCGACGTGCAGCTTTAGTTTGGAATAAGGGTTTTCCAACTCTTAGATGAATCTCCCATATCCACCAACTCGGTTAAAACACCAACCACTAGCTTTTCATCCTCTGAATTCCTTAAGCAACACCCTTGCCGCGAGCCCCCGAATGCCCTGGTACGGCCGAGAGTGGGGAGAGTCCGCTCTCCCTCTCGAAATACTCTCACACGGCCGCGCGTATACAGCCTCAGCCAGGAAAGTCCTACTCATTGCCTTCCCGTGGCATTACTGTTATTTACGAAAATGAGAGGACGAAAAGGGAATGTCCGGCGCTTTAACCGGATCACAAACCAATGGTGCACATGGGCTCCAGTATCCTGCGGGAACAAATGGCGTATGAACCAATCGTTGGTCACCGGCTATCATGGGATTGCATCTCCTTACGATGCTCCACTGCCTTGTGGGTTAGACCTTTAGGTCAAAGGCTCGGGGAGTGGCCCCCTAAGATAACCACCTGCTTCGGTTTGGGCAACCGGGCAGTATCACAGCCCACACACAAATGATAAACTCTCTATGTCTATGGAAATTACTTTTCTCGCTTCGAAAAACAATCAATTGATTCAAATTATTATCATTACAATTATTGTCATTAATAATACTATTATTATTATTACTACTATTGTTATTATTATTATTATTATTATTATTATTATTATTATTATTATTATTATTTTCCACATTATTCACCCTCTTTTATACTTATACAGCGGCTCGTCTTTGGTGGAAATTCGACTGTATCTAAACGTTCTCGAATCACTGTCCGGTTGAAAATTGTATGTTACCACTGAATATGAGTACTGAAGGAGTTTTTCTGAAACCACGTGCGCCATTCAAACTGGCTGCCTTCAACGTTCGCACATTTATGCAGGTCGGACAACAGATAGGGCTGGCTATGTCTTTGGAAAGCCAGAGCGGCTTATGCCAATCTGGGCCGCCTTTGGCGCCTTCGTGATGTTAGTCTGGCTGTAAAAGGTCGGATCTACAACGCGTCGGTGAGAGCAGTTTTGCTCTATGCTTGTGAAACCTGGTCTCTCCGAGTTGAGGACGTTAGACGACTCTCTGTGTTCGATCATCGTTGTCTCCGAAGGATTGCTGACATTCAGTGGCAACACCATGTCAGTAATGCAGAGGTTCGGCATCGTGTGTTCGGGCACAGAGATGATAATTCAATTGGTGTCACCATCTTGAAACACCGACTTCGGTGGCTTGGACATGTTCTGTGAATGTCGTCCCAGAGAATTCCACGTCGTGCATTATTTGCCGACTCTGGGACTGGTTGGAAGAAGCAGAGAGGTGGTCAGTGCATGACATGGTGTCGTGGTATGAAAGAAAGCTGCAAAGGACTGGCTTGTGTTGGTCCTTCACGACTCCCTGGTTGGGGTCTGAGAGATGGTGCAACACAGTGGCTAGAGACATTATCAGATATGGCTCAGAATAGAAGCCAGTGGCGATCCTGCTGTAACCTTCTTTTACTTTCTTCATAAAAAGTGGTTGTGTCTCCCTTACCTGAAAGATTTCTTCCGATTGTACCTTTGCGTTCCCTCATTACTACCAAACTACCTTACACCAATCTCTTCGTTGTTGCTCTTTTTTTGCGCTCCTTAGCTTTTTTTTTCTATTTCTCTTCGAAATCTCATTGTTTTGTGTGGCGCATATATATTGGCGCTCTCTTGTACCAATATTCATGTGTTCAAATAAATAAATAAATTGCCGCGAGGATTCAGTGAGTAGGACTTTCCTGACAGTGGTTGTATGCACGTAGCCATGTGAGAGGATTTCGAGAGGTTGTAGTGTCGGTTACTATGTTAAGCCCACAATGCTTATTTTGGCTTCCGGACAGGCCAACTTATTCATTCTTCTGAAATCACATTTTGGCCTTTTCAGCTATGTGCTTATCAACCTCGACTGTTTTCTTATCCCATTCATCACATATCTGTAACTTATTTTCATCTGACTATAAATATTGATTAACGTTTGATTAAATTTAGTTGGCTCACTTACCTTCTCCATTGCGCGTCATTTCTCTCCGCTTCGTCCCCCTGATTGTCTGTTCAGATCGATGATTGTACAAAATATACGTATTCAAAAATCCATTCTAGTATTTGGCTTGTTTGATTTCGTTATTCACCAATGTGGATTAAGTCAATAATTATATACGAGAATAGGTGATAGCGATCACCCGATAACGATCATTTCTCCGGTCTAACTGTAGTCAGATTAAGGGTCACTGAAAGGTAGAACTGACTCTCCCCACTCTCGGCCGTACCAGGGCATTTGGGCGCGTCCTGATAGTTCTAGCTCTCTGCGCAGTGTGGTACGGCAACTTCAACCTATGGGCACGTCGTTCTATGTTCTAAGTTCCATTCGTTCCTACAGGATGTTTTAGCATACACTCTTCATTTAAATGAAAACCAGCTTTTTTATCTTCATGGGACAAGACTTTCAAAGCAAAATTTCAGCTCGGCCTAGCTGCAATAGAGTATTCGGAAATTTTGGAAGGACCCTACTCACTCTGGACTCGCATCATATCGCTTGGAGAATGAAGTCAAAATGACAGATTTCATGGGAATTAACCCTACAAATTTTTCCTACATTGTTAGTTTATCGTGCTTTGAGTAAAGCATAATGTATTATGAGAAATAATCCTACTAAACATATTACACGACTATTTCATACAATTCATTTTTGGATATTTCATGTCACTTTCTTCTTCCAGATAGTCAGTAGCACGGAAGGAAATACGTGGCCTCATTAAAAAGAGTTAAAAACAACTCATTAAAGAAATCTTTCTTAATACTCTCATTTCCTAAAGCTATAACAGTTGTGTAATTATTTAACGCCTATAGTATGTTTTCTAATTGTCTTCTTTTTTCGAATAGCAGATAATTGATGTATCAAATTGTACACATATCACTCTTCTAATCACTAGTGCTGAATTGTAACATTATTGAGAATGAGTGTGCAAAAACATGAGAAAGTTCAACTAACAGTATACGAAGCAGATGTAGTTAAATTAATTTTGGAATTTTTGGAAAAACGTGATCTAGCCATCTCTATGTTAGCCCTAGAACGAGAAACTGGACAAGTAAATGGACCATTCAATGAAGATATACTATTCTTTCGTCAATTAATTTTGGAAGGTCATGTAAGTCAATCCCTGAAATATGTTGACCAGTTTAAGCCCCGATTGTGCAATCACGATACCACCCCTGCCGGGTGAACTCAGTCAAGTCTTACCATTTTGCCGACCCAATAAAAATGGTCTAAAACTTGACTTCAATAGAAAAACCAATCTTGATGATTAGTGGAATAGTCCCCAAATTGTTTGCGAACAGCTCAGTCAGAACTAATGTTCCATTGACCAAATATTTTGTAGTTATTCGGTCGTAACACTTAGCAGATACCTGTTTGAAAGCTACATAGTTACAATATCCATCCTATCATCGAGTTGTCAAAGTGGGGTAAACTAAATCTACCATTGAATCACACCTGACACTAAGCAACGTAAAAATATCGATCAGTGCCTATAGGCAGTTAGCTCAGTATTTATCTCGTAAGTAGGATAAAACCTGGTGATGTTAAATGTGTGCTAGTGGTTGGGAAGTCATAACTACTCATATTGTAGAAGAATGCTTCTTCTTAGGGAACCTGAACAAGAAACTGGATTGATGCTAATATCTCCATCAGTCCGAGAGCTTCACCTCAAAACTCAATAGAAGACTGTTTGATATCAGTGACTTGTGGCCTTCCTAGGGAAGTTTGTTTAGTTTTGTATTGTTGGCTCTATACTTTGTTATCTTCGGGACCAGTATCGAAAGAAAATAAGAATTCTCTGTTTTAGAGACCGAGCTTTTTGTATGTCCACTTAAGTCTGTTAAAAATGTGACATTGAGGATATTAGTTATACGTAGAAAACATTTTACTGCTTCAATTTCCTGTTAGAGTCAACAGTACAACCTCTCCTTTGGATCTAAAATTTCCCATTTTGATTTTACAGCTTTACAAACAGCGCGCAACTTGATAAGACCATTAGGAATTCGTAATCCACTCATTACAACTCAACTAGATTTTCATGACAAGCAAGCATGACTTCTACATTCAATTAACATCTACAATCAATTGATATAAAAATCACTGTTCTGTATAAGCAACATACTAAACTAGCACAGAAAACTTCTAATAATTCATGTAATTTAAAACATATCTCAAACTTCAACCCTACCTTTCAGAAGTCACTGTTTTGAGAGTATCTAAGAAAAATATACCGTAATAAATATATAACCATAGGTTTCGTGTTTAAATAAGAAAAATACCATTCTCAAGTAAATATAAATATAGACAATGATATTAAAATTTATCAACAATACAATAATTACTATCAGTTGGGTTTTGTGGATATTATAGTAATTTCAATGGTTAAGATCATGAGACAGTTGAAGCTAGACCACCATGGAAAACCTAGAAGCACTGGACGGCCGTTCCGTCCTATTGTGGGACTCCTCAGCAGTGCGCATCCACGACCCCGCCTTACGGCATTCGAACTCAAGACCTACTGGTATCGTGCGCGAGCACTCAACCACCAGACCACTGAGTTGGCCGCCATCTAATGGTGTTAATGTCCAACTTCGACAAATCCACGAAAGTGAGCGACACATCCACCATTGTCTTCAGTGAGTTACTATCTCACAACAGACCTGGTTGAACTCCACTGGTCACTACTTCTCACTAGAATTCCAGAATATACCTCTTGAAGCCAGTCACTAGTGAGCATATGTTGATTAATATCAGATGGTTTTTGTGGATATTATATGCTCACTAGTGACTGGCTTCAAGAGGTATATCCTGGAGTGATGACCAGTGGAGTTCAACCAGGTCTGTTGTGAGATAGTAACTCACTGAAGACAATGGTGGATGTGTCGCTCAATTCCGTGGATTAGTCGAAGTTAAACATTCACACCGTTGGATACCGGCCCAGTGGTCTGGTGGTTGAGTGCTCGCGCGCGATATTAGTAGGTCCTGAGTTCGAATCCCACAATAGGACGAAACGGCCATCCAGTGCTTCCAGGTTTTCCATGGTGGTCTAGCTTCAACTGACTCATGATCTTAACTATTGAAAATACAATAATTAGTTTATTAATAAGGAAAATTAATCAATAATTAATTATCACCTCTCTATGACTACATCATCTTGCTTAATACATGAATTACATTTTTCTGAAGTGAGTCATTATGATGAGATAAAATTATTTTGTTTTTGATTCTGCATCATTCAGTTAATATTTCAAAGAATTTTACTTAAATCACTGTTAAATGATACTGCTAACTAATAATTTGATTACATAATATTGACATTTTTTAAAAGAAATACATTTAATAAAATCATCTGAATAGGAGCCATAATGGAGGGAATCAATGAATCTAGAAAATCTGGAATAGGTAAATGAACGTCATGCTACATTATAACCATTTAACTTCTGCTTCAACCACCAATCAATTTATATTAGTATAAGCTGTTGTTTAGGAACATAACTAATATTTAGAGAATACCTGTAAAACAATTTTTTTTAATATATATATGGATTAACTTTTGAAATGAATGATGTAATGTATCTCAATTTGCCAATCAAATTCCAACTGAGATAGAGAAAAATACTACACACTAGAAAGTGAACTAACTAATCGGTTTTCAACTGTCTTATTAAGATGTACATATGATGAGAGATATAATAGTCAATTATAATAGTTTATACACATACTACGTTCTTAATACCTATTAAGAAATAAAAACATTTTATTAGTATTATTATTATCAGCTTTATTCAATATTATATTTTTGGTACAATATAGAATTCTCAGCGTAAAGTATTTCAACAAGTTTCCGTTTCTTTATTCTTGGTCGGTCCTGGCGATAAATATTGAGTGATCGCCAGTTAGATGTTAGCAGTTCAGTAAATGAACATCTGAATAATGTGCATTCTTTTCGCTGTATATTGCCAGCAACCACACTGTCTCCTATTGAGTTTTTTGTAACTTTGACAACGTAGGGTTGTACACTTTTCATAAACGCAGCAGAATAGGTTATGCGATTAATAGACATAATGATATATTAAAACAAAGAAAAATAGATAACTTGTTGAAATATCTAGATGAGAGGAACAGGTAGCCCAGATGTTCTAGCAGGTCGCCCTTCACAGCAGAGAATTTTTTTCACATATAATTTGATTAGATTTATAACTGCATGCACCAACATTTCACAAGATATTATATGTATTAATATGCTGTGTTAATTATGTTGGTATCCCTCAGAAATTAGACTTTTTTATACTTAAATATTTAGATAATGCCACTAACCCACAGGTAATTACCCTCCCATTTTTCTATTTAATATACATAGTTGAACAATCTAATTTAAGTGTTGACCACCACTGATTTTCAATTTCTAATAGATGCGCGCTTATATGTGTTGTTCTAATTTTCACATTGGGAATCTTTAATATTCTAAAATCTTCATTTCACAAAACACTATATACTTGAAATGGATGGAGAGTAGTAATAACTTTTCGGTATACACCATTAAACTACTTAATTACATAAACAATTCTATTTTATCATCTAGTATTTATGCTTTGAATGATCCAATACCAAATTGTTTTCATTCTGTAAATCATTCTAAAAGATTATTTTGGTTTTATATTTGGATTAGATAATAGTGATATCTATATAGTTCTCAACTTTGATGTAGGATTATAAACTTCTAACTTTCCCACTCATACTTGTGTTAAAACAAAGTAATCAAGCGAAATATTATATAAATAACCAGTAAAACAGATGGAGTAGCTGTTAACAGCGAATTGATATATCTGAATATTACGAGTTAGTTACGGATTTGCCAATTTTCATTTAAGATTATTCTTACGTGAGTTCCATAGTCCCTGACTCAACTGTATGCTCGCGGTTCAAAAATTTAAAATGATGTGATATACGAATAAGTCCAGACGGTATATATATATATATATATATATATATATATATATATATATATATATATATATATATATATATATATATATATATATATATATATATATATATATATATATATAGGGGAACACCGATTGTTTGTGAAATATATACACTTCATCTTCAGTCTTCCATTTGTATCTATTGTGTGTTCCGCAACTCACGCTAGTTGTGGACTGTTTTCAATGACATCTCTTCTGGTTTCTCAAGTATTTCGAACTTACCGTGCTTTTTGCTTTCTGAGACTCCTGTCTTTGGCTGTCGACTACAGCAACTGAGGTGCTACATTGCATGCTATTTATAAGCTATCTTGTAATTAGTATCCATCACAATAATAATAGAAAAGCAATCCATTTTTCGGTCGATTCAGTTCGGATTTCAGTCAGTCAGCTACAACATAGGACCAGGCACATATATGCATCGGTCCAAGTTGCCATACCTCATTAGCACAACAAAATGAACACCGAATTCATAAAACTAGTTAATTCAGTGGTGGCAATATATAAAGAAAAGATAGCATATAAGGACATAGTACAGGAAGAAAGAATTAGTCCGTAGAAAGATATGAAGCGATCTTAATCTCACGGTTTGAGGGAAGACAGAAAGTGTATACACCGACACCATTGTGATCGATTCTGAGCCATGTCACCAAGAGTCTCCAACCATTGGTTACGATAGTCACGCGGACCCCAACCAAGTAGTCTGCATCTACCAACATGGCTCAGACTAGAAGTTAGTGACTTCAAGCACTGATGCCACGTTTTGGTTTGGCAACCCCTAACTTTCTTCCAACCATCCCCAACACCGGTTAGCATTGCACGTCGTGGTAATCGGTGTTCAGGCATACGTAACACGTGGCCCAACCATCTCAGTCGATGAAGATTCACAACCTCATCAACTGATTTACCATCATTCCCTAATACCCTGCGTCTAACCTCACTATTACTTACCCGGTGATCCCAGCAGACGCCAGCAATATTTCTAAGGCATCTGTGGTCAAATACTAGTAGCTTACGAGTGTCTTCTACTCTTAATGGCCATGTTTCGCTGCCGTAAATTAAAACAGAACGGACTGCCGCGCAGTATACTCGTCCTTTTATTGATAGACGGATATCTCGCCTTCGCCAAAGGTGACGTAAGTTGGCAAAAGCCAAACGAGCTTTTCGAATCCGTGCTGAGATTTCGTCAGACACCAACCCATTAGGGCTGATCAGACTTCCAAGATAAGTGAAGTTGTCAACGCGTTCGACTACTTCACTCCCTATCCTTAGTTCAGGTGTTGACGCAGACCAGTCCTGAAGCAACAACTTGCATTTAGAGGGAGAGAAGCGCATTCCAAACATTCTGGCATTGTTGCTTAGTGCTACCAGAAGACTCTGCATTTTGTCAGCGTCTTCACCAAACAGGACTATGTCATCTGCGTATTCTAAGTCGATAAGTGGACCTCCTGGAAGGAGATCAATACCCGAGAATTCAGTCGACGAGAATGTTATTTCCATCAGTAGGTCTATGATGAAGTTAAACAAAAATGGGAAAGTGGACAGCCTTGACGGACACCACTTGAGGTTGCAAAAGTAGATGACAGTTCGCCATAAGCTCTGACTCGACTAGTAGTGTTCGAGTAAAGAGCCTTCACAAGGTTTATGTACTTCTGAGGTACGCCTTTCAATGACAGACACTGCCACAGAATCTCGCGGTCTACCGAGTCAAATGCTGCTTTTAAGTCAAAAAAACCACCATTGTCGGACGCCGATAAGTATGCCTGTGTTCTAGAACCTGACGAATGGTGAATATGTGGTCGATGCAGCCACGACCAGGTCTGAAGCCAGCTTGGTTCTCTCGTGTTTGCAGTTCACGAGTCTTAGTTAGGCGTCTGATAATTATCGAGGCTAGTATTTTAGATACTATATTAGTTAAACTAATCCCTCTGTGGTTGTCACAGGATGATTTTGACCCTTTCTTATATATTGGGACGATAAGTGATTGCGACCAGTCAGATGGGATAACGTCTAACTCCCAGATCTTAGCTAAAATATTAGTCAACCTAATCGCTAAAATTGGACCACCATCCTTAAAGACCTCTGGAGCCAATCCATCTGGACCAGCTGCCCTTCCTCGTTTCAGATTAACTATAGCCTTTTGAACTTCAGCAAGAGTTGGGGGACCTACTTCAATGTTCCATTCACACTGTCTGGGAATGGAGGGTAGTTGTAGAGTAGCTGAAGGCCAGCTGAACTGTTCTCTAAAATGTTCCGCCCATCGTTCTAAACGTCTGGACTGGGAGCAGATGAGAGTATCGTCTTTTTCCGAAATAATCTCACTTACACTTGACTTATTAATTCCAGTTTCTTTTATTAGTCTGTAAAGCTGTCTTGTGTTCCCTATAGTCGCCGCCTTTTCCATCTCTTTTGCTTTCGTTGCCCACCACTGCTCACGGTCGTTTCTTAGACTTTTTCTTAACCTAGATCTGATTTGTTGTCGCTCTTCATCATGTTCGGAACCTGATGGGACGAGTTTGCGAGAATCCATCAGTGTGATAGACCTTGAAGAAATCCACTGGTTCTTTGTAACTCTGTGGTTTAAGTCGCTAATAGATGTCACTGCTGTTTCCACAGCTGCTTGTATGTCTTTCCAAGCAACATCTGGGTCAGCCTCGTCTTCAGAACTACCTAAGTGTGAACTCAGTTGTTCTTGGAACCTATTTTTGGTTTTCTCGTTACTCAACTCAGTTCTAATGGGTCTTTTTAATGTGGCTTTTTTGCGTCCGGTGAGGCGCAAGCAGATGCGTGCCCGTATTAGGGCGTGGTCGGAGTCCAAGCAGGTACTCCAGAATGAGCGACAATCTTCTACCGACCCTCTCCAACGATGACTGATGGCAATATGGTCTATTTGAGTCCATCGTTGGTTTGGTGTAGGGGGTCGCCATGTTAGACGATGTCTCTCCTTATGCTTAAAATTTGTGTTTGCTAAAAAAAACGATTGTCTGAGCACAGTTGCAGCAGACGGTCACCATTATCTGTTCGCTGTGCCGGAATACTAAAATACCCACCTAAATGCCTTTCTGTTTGGTTTAAACTACCTATCTGAGCATTAAAGTCACCTGCTACGAGTACTATGTCTGAGCGTTTAGCTTTCTGAAGAAGTTCAGATAGCTTTCTGTAAAATTCATCCTTCATTTCATCTGAGCTGCAGTCAGTGGGAGCGTAGGCAGAAACGACGAAAAGGCAACGACGTGTGTCCCTATCCTTCCGAGTTCTTACGGAGCCGTTTAGCCGAACAACACATAAACGATTGTTAACGGGGATCCACTCTAACAGTGCTTGTCCCGCCCTCATGCTTGGTGCTATCCCTACTCCTGCCAGTCCATGAGAGCTGGCCGTCGGGTCAGTTCGGATTTGGAGGAGACATAATAATTTCAGATAAAATGCAACCATACATTGTTATTTTATGTAGAAGTGATGGACCATTGGTCGCTATTTATTCTGTGACTCATTTTTATACTGGTTAATCACTTATTATCAGATAAATAACTCAATTTTTTTGTTAACTGGTTTATAAATAAATGATAGCCTAAATTCCTTATTATGTGGTTCTGTATTCTGAATGTTTCTTTTTTCAGTTATGATTTAGAAATAATTCCTATGAGCTAATTATCAGTTTGATTATCCTTATTTGTACACGATAAGTTTATGAATATATCAAGTTGTTCTAACAATTATTTCCTCGTTTTTTGTTGTTGTAGTGGGACGATGCACTTGACTATTTGGAACCATTACGAGGTCCACCTGTTGCGTTAGATCTAAGGAAGCCCCGATTTTTATTATTAAAACATAAGTATCTAGAATTATTGTGTCTACGTGATGTAACTAACTTGGATGGGAATAATTCAGCTAATGGGACCACCGGTGTTAATGTTAACGAAAGTAATATAGATCATGGTGTTGAACAGGTTAGTTTGTGTGTTGCAAGATTGTGTTTCACCTTACTAGAACCTAAAATCAATTTCAAGCTATATGATTAAATGTTATCGGTTCACTTAACATAGTTACGTTAATCAATGCTCTATTATCTTGTCCTACATCTGTATATTTTTTTGTAAACTACAAACTAATTACATTGAGCTAATCTAATTTTTACTTGATCTGTTAACATGGATTCATTAAAAATGCTCCTGAGACTATCTGTTTTAACAATAATGGTTACTCTATACAATTTCTGTAGTTTTACAAGCATTATTGAATTGTTTTTTATACGTTTTGTTTATCTTTATTTGAATAAATTAGATTTAAAGAGGAATGCATCAAAAACCCCACAATAGATTATTTATCAATTTACAACATTCATTATTCTCTTATAAATAACACATTCTATTATTGTTATTCTCTAAAAAAAAACGACAACAGGTTATTGATTGTTTGAAACAGTTAGAACCTGAATGTGAAACTCAGGCAGAATATCGTGATTTAACTCTTTTGTTAACTTTAACACGATTAGACCAACATCCGGATTATCGCTATTGGAATCCAAGTTTAGGCCGTTTACAATGCTTTAATCAGGTTAGTTTTAATAATATTGATAAATAATTATATTAAATCTCTCTTCGCCCACCCCTCCTTCACTCATCTCCTGCTGCCTTCAGCATTATTTTCAGTTTGTGTAAATAAAAACTGGCGGATAGTTAAGATTTATGCTCAAACAGTAATAAAATAGCATAGTGGACGTTGTTTGTTTTCTACGTCTCAGTAACAACCACTTTTCTATGCATGTTGTTTAGCATGTAGTTAGAAAAAACTAGTTTCTATGGCCTTTTTATGTCACATTTAGACTTGAATGGCTAGTTAGAAAGATTGCTTATCAATTCATTTCAATGTAATATGAGACATCAGCATGTTTATAACTGCTAGTCTAATGATTGTTATGGGATAGAAAATGATGCTGAATATTTATTAAATATGTAGGAATACATGTTCAACCATTAAAAAAAATCACACTAGTTAATGCTGTCTACGTAAAACTTCTGAAGAAGGCAGCGGGAAATAGGCGAAATACAATAGTTGACTGAGTAGTAATTATCGTTATGTAGACTATGTGTAACAACAGTCAACCAGCGGTATCCATCAAAATATACTAGGAGTGATGTACGGTAGCATCAGTACTTTCAAAGATATCAGCTTCGCCTTGACGAGTGTTTCAGATGAATCTATTCTACTGTGAAATTATTTCACATGTAATAACACTTTCGTATAGTTCACTTTGGGTCAAGCAATAACTACAAATGTAAAAACACAAATTAACAGGGATTATTTAGTTGTAGTGATTTCATCTAAGTCTTGACCGTCCATTTTATAGGTATCATTACCAAGGTTTGACTCGATAATTTCGAATAAATTGAGGATTGGGTAGATTGTTATAAATTAATGATATATTTGTAATATCCCAATGAGTAGAAAAATTAGATTTTCTGATGTTTTGTGACTTAGTGTAAGTCACTTCTTGGTTATTTATTCTCTGCTCGCACATGGTTCGGTCGATAGTTCGCTGCTCTCTGATTGGCGGTATCATTGTGTTATACAATAAACTGGGCACACAGGCTCACAAGTTATAACAGGTGGTAACCTCGGCTAGGTGAATAATTCGCCTACTCACAATCTGTTGTCTACATTTGCATTTCTCATTTTCAAGTGGCCTTGAGATAGCCTGTGATCTATTTGGGATCGTCTGGTCTATCAATGATATTTTGTGTAAGCTTTTTCATTTGTTTATGTGGAGTAACATTTTTTATAGCTTCTATCATTTCTGTTTTGTTTGGGTAGCTCGCAATAGTATCTTTCATCTTTAAATAAACATCAGGTTCGAAACTTTTTCGACTTCGTCCTTTGTTACTAAGTTATATTAGGCGAAAGCAAAGATTCTATAACATCAAAATAATAGCTAAAAATAATTGCGTACTTACGCCTGTTACCCCTCATGGAGCATAGGCCACCCACCAGGATTCTCCAACCAACTCTGTCCTGGACTATCTTTTCCAGTTATTACCAAATGGTATTCGTTTTTTTAAATATCTGCCTCCAATTTCCGACGCAATTTATTCTCTAGTCTCCGACTTTTCCTCCTGCATTGAGTATTCTAAGATCACAGAGCTAGTGAAATAGCTAAGAATAACGTCATTTGAGATTATTCAGTTTGCAAGTAAAATCATAGATTTGAAAGTATTAAAAATGATGTTGTAAAATGAGGGACAATTCATAAAGCGAGTTACCACAGTACATAAATCTGTGTGTTGAGACATCTAATGTCTAATTTTAGATTTTTTTAAAAGACTAATGGGTTTCCTTTCTATTGTTTTTTGTTTCTTTTATTATTTCTCTTTTTCTTTGAAAACATTTCAATTTAGATCTATCCGCTCTTGCAACCATTTATTCAACTTAGTAAACATTCATCTAGTGGCCAGGCATCAACTGATGAAAATGCTCGTGGTGACCGACTTTTACGATTACTTGTTAAAGGTTTACTATACGAAGCCTGTGTAGATTACTGTGCTCTTATGGCAACAGAACGGAAAGCTCAAATGCAGATAACTGGAATGCTTGGAGGTTTGTGTATTTGTTGACAAAATAGTTTGTTTGGTCATCAGTAAATGATCACTAGTGGTATTAGATGACAACAAATAAATTGAAGTTGAAAGTATATCACTGGATGCCATTCCATAGGCTCTGATGGTTAGACGTTCTTCACGAGAACTGAAGATCATGGGTTCAATCCTTAGTAGAGTTGTAGATTCACACTGCTTGGGAGTTCCATACTACAGTGAAGCAGCTGTCTGGTAGTCCCTGGTTTTCAATGATACTGTAAATGTGATCAAATTGTGACGAATAATATCTACAAATTGAACCAACCTCCACAAAACCCCTTTACTTAAATTTCCAATAAGTGTAGTGATGAATGTGGAGCTTTATATTTTGCGTTCAGTATTGGTCTTTCAACTAGCGTTTCTCCAGCTCTAACTCTACTGTCTTTGGTTTGAGCATCTGTACCTCATATATGGGTATTTGTTAGGTAAAATATTCATTTTTCATTCAAAAACTATTTTTATTCCAGCTGAAGAAGATCCAAATCAAATGTATTCAAAAACCTTTTAGAATAATATGCTATTGTCAAAAGATACCTACTCAACAGTAGATATCCACATTGACTTATCGATGAATATAAAAATAACCATGTTGAAAAATATATCCTGTTTATGTGCACATTGGTTTCAAAAGTAGTGAGGATTATATTTATTTTAATCTTGATGACAAATGATGTCCAACACAATTCGATTATATGCACTCATAAACCAAAAAATCTCTTCTTTTAACCTTGTCCTAGTGACAACAAATAGTACTCGATATAAATGCAGCTAGGTTGACATTTTAATATCTTCATAAACAATATAAGCTACTTCTTAAGTGTAAGAATCATTGTTGAATCATGATATTAAATACTGTAGCTATCGTGGATCATATGTCACTGTAACCTATATGATCTTACTAAAAGTGATTATCCTTAGATATCAGCGACATAATGTAGAGTCTTATCAGACATACTCAGAATGATCAGCTTTCACGCGTTCATCTGTTAGTCAACATGTACATCAGATAATTAGACCTTGATTTTCTAGGCTTGTGAATTATCTACAAAACTATAATCTTACTGTCATTTACTCTTTAAATGGATTTGAATCACGTTTGTGTCGAATTCTTTATGTATAAGTTTATACAAGGAGACTTTGTTTATAACGCCTATTATATCAATAAACTCGGATTTAATGAGTAGTCGTCACTAGACTACACTAATCATCCCAAGTCATGCAATCCAGCGCGATCCGAATTATTCATAGATTATTCCTTTGTTTTGACTCAAACATAAGACCGGACTGCTCACAGCACAATGTTATATACTAGTCGTTTCATGACTCGATTAGCTCCATAATAGTACCTAAGGACATCCGGTTTAACAGCTAGATGAATCGGCCGTAGAATAAATGTTACACTAAAAACGACCTGTCTACCTGTTAAACTAGTCACTATCTATTGAAGAGGTTCTATGTGACAAATCCAATAACTCATTTTTTATGTCATTACCAAGTGTACAAACTAAAGTACCTATCTTAAAACTAAAATGTATTGTTCATTCCAAAACATCTAGAACTCAAAAGTGCATAAATCTTCGACGGATGCATTTGTTAATCGCTTATTTAATTGCAGGGCATCATTTCAAAGTCTTAAAATTCCTAGTATAACCAAGTTGATTCAAATGTACTTGTTCTTTTATCAGGTCGTAACTGTTGAACAACTAACGTCTAACCTTCGCAGTCAAAAAAACAATTGTCCCCATTTATCATCTCAATGATAATTTCTTGCATAATTTGTACTCTTTACTTATGAACATATTTTTTGTCCTCATAGTTACTATTTCGTTATATTTTATTTTTATAGAACGTACACTTTTAACCGTCCTCCTTTGTTAAATAATTTTATTATTCATACACATGATCACTCTAACTACTTACATCTACACTTTGATTCTTACTACATCATAGTTATTATTCTCTTTCCCATTCAGGTCAATATTTTTTGTCACATTGATTTCTATCAGATTGTAAACAACTATAGAACGACACATTGACACTAAGTGGATACATATTCAATTTTGTATCAAAATTGTTGGTTATTCTTGACCGTTCCACATTTGTAGGCCAAACCATCATATAGTTTAGCTGAATTTTTCTGTTTATTTTAAATTATTATTCTCATGACACATTAAACGTTAAAAGGAAAAGGATTGAAGTCCAGATATCATCGAATAACAAGTTTCCTTCTAGGACTGTCAAACTTCGGTATTATTATCACTTTGGATTGCGATCCTATGAGTTGGGTCGTGGATACACTCTATTTGTAAGAAGTTCCAAGTTTTGCCTAAAAAACTCTCTAATACCCCTTGATGTTATGTAAGAGTTGGTTGAAAGGAGTGATCAAACCAAAACGTAACATCAATTCATAAAGTAATTGACTGTCGAACTGAGCTATTTCGGTAGGTGCAGACTACTTCATTGAGATCCGTTTGATTATCATAACCAATGGTTAGAAACTTTGGTGTTTCTCAGAATCGATCTTACTGACGCAGATATATTCACTCTTTGCTTCATCTTGAATCTTCAGTTTTAAAATCATCTTTCTCATTTCACCAATTCATTCTTTTCTCTTGAAAAATATTGTGTGTCCTTAATTTTTATATTGTCACTAATACCGTTACTGCTACTGCTTCGCAATTTGTCTTGATAACTTGGTCTCGCTGTAGTGATGTTGTACTGCAGCGTCGATCGACACATATATGCGTCAAGTTCTACGTTGCTTTTGACTAATTGACCTTAGTTTTCAGTAATCCTAGCTAATGTCGATGAAGACCATGTTAAACACTGTATAATTATTAATAATAATAACAATACTAATAATAATAATAAATGTTGATGTTCCCAATAGATATAAAGCTACCGATTTCACTAAACTTTTACAATCGATATATTGTTCATTTCATAATTAAATAGTCTTTCTCTCTGCGTGTTTTCTAGGTGATTTAGACGAAGAAGAAGAAACTGAACGTCTTTACAATCAGAACATTTCTTTACATACTACACAAAACAATGAAATAAATCAACGAGCACATAGTCATTCTACTAGTCATTGTCGTCAACCTGTTGCACCGGATTTATCATTAAATTCATGGCTTCAATCATTGAAACCAGTGAATTTTAGTCAACCATTTCAATCATATGAATTAGATTTGAAAGTACAACCAATTAATCGACCAACACTTGAATCTAGTTTATGGCCAGAACATATATTAACTCAACCTACTGTGAAACCACTCGTATTTCCTTATACTCACATACCAGAATCAAATACCATAATGGGATCGAGTATTCAGCGTTCAGTATTATCAATACATAATCCAGCTTTAAAAGAGCCCATCTTCAAGGACCTAGTGGTGAATTAATGCGAAGTCTTATTCCTGCTTATGAAGGACTTTCAGTGGTCTCTTACGCATGAATCCACCGTCATTACAAAATGATGAACTTAACGGTGAATATGACATCAATCATCATAATGGTATCAATACAGGTTTGCGTCCAGTTATTCGGAGTTCTGGTTTACCAAATTTATCTCGACGTGGTGTAAGCTTTCTTATATATGCCACTTTTCATTTCTTCGCTTTTTATATCGAATTTGACTGATAAGGTAGACAAAAATTTTCGTATGAGTTGTCTACTTAAACTGAAAACTATGAAGAAAATCACGTGTATTCCATTTAAGATGGATTTTCCATATCGAATTTTCTCACATCTACCACCTTTGATCTCAATCACACCAATTAGTTATGGACAATGTTAGACCATACAAAGTGGTAACAAGAAGACATAAATAAATACAAATAACACTTTAAATGGTAGCTGACAACTAAACTATTGGGAGATGCACAAGTTCCTAAAAACTTGCATTTAATCAGCCATTGAAAACTCGAGTTTTGGAGCACTTGATTCAAATATACACTCGTGGTTTTAAAATTCGAAATGGTGGATTTAAAATTCCTTTCTATGTTGAGTTTAGTTGTATTCTTGGGGAATAGCATACATTTTTCAACAAATTTTCGCTTAAGATTATTTGTACGTGTAGTTGAGTTAATTGAACTCTTATGGTTTTACTGGATATCGTTTCCATTCTAGGGTAACTTATCGGTGAATCGCTTAATTATTTGTCTTGATATCAAAAGTGTAGAAAGAACTTACACAGACTATTTAGTTTTGTGTATGTGAATAAGCACCTAATTTTTGTTTCCGATCCATACTTCTTTTTGAATATCCACCCCATTCCCGCCGTTTGCCTGTTCTTCCTGGTGGCCACAGTTTTGAGCTCAGTAATCCCCAGTATATGCCACTACTTGAGGCTTGAGTCCAATGATGTGAGCAAACAAGATTTACTGTTTCTATGGGAGTAAAACGTCAAAACCTGTTCGTATCTTCTAGCTTATATGATATTCTACCCGCGAACCCTCTTCTGGTTCATCTGGGTTCGATATGATACTTTACATCAAGAGGGATTTCTTTATGATCTAATCAGCCATTCTTTCTTCCAATATAGCCTAGATTTTTAATTCATCAGATTTCCATATAAGTTCTTTCATACTTATTTCTTCCTATAGCCTCGGTTAATGACTCATTCTTTGTCTGGATTTCGTCTTCCACCTAATCCGAATTTACAATTTTTAAATCAAAAATCTAATTCCAACCAAACAGTTGCATCTACAAATTCACAAGATAATAATACTATGTCAGAAAATAAAATACAAAATATTTCAGCTGATCAAAACACTAATGGAAATGCTAATTTAGAATCGGCCAATATTTCCGCCAGTATGCAAGCTTCAGTGGACCGGTTATTTTCACTACATGGTCAAATGTCATCTACTTCAACAGATATGAATAGTTCTATGGCAGATCATCATGAACATAACATATCCACAACAGTACGAAATTCAATGTTATTATCTCGTTCTACTGCTCTAACAGGAGGTCAAATGCAATCAATTACAGAAGAATCGCCTCATTCATCATTTGATCCTGTTACTAATGATCGTTTGGTAGTGAAACAATCTGTCAGTGTTGATGATACTACCAGTCATCGGAAATCTCCATCATCTTCATCACCATGTAATAGAACAATGTCTGGCAGTTTATCACCTAAAGAGATGGTTGCATCAATGCAAAGTTCAATTATCATCGATATAGAAAGTGGTGAGCGTGTTGTGTTTTTGTGTTTATACATATATATAATGCAAAACTAAAAGAAATTTCAAGCATATTTGTTCAATAATCCTAATATCTTTGTTGAATATCATGAAAATCGAATCAATTTCCTTGTTGGGATTGGTAAAACTTTCATTCAGACGCTTATCTTTCATCTCTAAAATGAATTAAAACTGAGCAAAGAACTAAATAAAGGTTATCATTTGTTCATCGTCCAGTTTATTTATTCAAACCCATAATGTTACAAAGTGGCACCAAAATATATATGCACCACATATGATTTGTATAAAGGCTGGGATGTAGTGCCCGGGTGACCAAACCGAAGCTTGTAGTTCTCTTATAGGGTCACTCCCCAAACCTTTGATCTCAAGATCTAATTCACAAGGCAATGGAGCAACGTTAAGAGATGCGATCCCATGGTATTTTGTGACCAACAATAGGTTTATACTCCATTTGTTCCCTCAGGATCCTGGAGTCCATGTGCATCATTAGTTTGGAATCAGGGTTTTCCAACTCCCCTAGTTGAATCCTCCTTACTCACTGACCCGGTTTCAAGCTCCGGTCATTCGCTTTTTATCCTCTCAATGTCGTAAACAACACCCCCGCGGCGAAAAGGTAGTGAATAGGACTTCCCTATCAGTGGCTGTATACGTGAACCAAGTGTGAGCATTTCGAAAGAGAGTGAACTCTCACTACTCTCTACCGTACCAGGGCATTGGGAGGTTAGTATCGCTAGCGTCATTCAACTGTGGGGGTTCGGGGCTTAGCATAATTGTCCTTCGATTTCACTTAAAGACATCTATCCTCACTTAGATAATACCTAATATCTTGATTTCTGAGGAATCCCAGTCTAGGTCAAAATATCCATCCACTGATTTTAAATATATCTATAGTTCTTCAACGTATTTCAGTTGTTATTCAAGTAATTTAAACCATCAATTTGATGTAAGTTCGTGACCTCCAGATCTAATTACTAAACACTTGTCTCATTAAGCCCGACAAGGTAGTTAATCTATGCTTTTTTAAAAGGTTGTTTCATGATACTTAAAGCCAACTTCGACAAGCTCTTGAATTATTTGAAATTACAGTAAGATTAACTTTTCTGAAGTAGATTAATTCGAGCTAACTACCGAGTATTGCCAACTTATAAAACAAGTGGTCATCAAGTACTCATGCCTATTGATTAGTATTTCCGAACATTTGTTTCACAACTGTTCACTGATATATCTGTCGATCATAAATGAACACATCACGTTTTAGACATTATCGTTAAGATTTCAGAGATTCAATTATCTCATAATTTATTTCAGATTAGTTTCTTTATTCAAGAGCTAGAGTGGATTGGTGTTGCATATTGGGTGCTGCTACTCTATTTGACTCAGAGAATCTATTTTATATATATATAATGATTATGCTGACATCAATAATCGATAAAAGGCTGGTTATGTGATCGTAGTTTATCATGATCTGGTTATTGGTCATTCGTTTGTCCTTACACAGAAAAATTGATCTTTGTGTGTGTGTGTGTGTGTCTGTACATCTCCATGTCATATTTTACCACCACACCGATTAGATTAGACATGTTTTTCATTTTGTCTCTTCGCTTTCTCTTCATTCATTTTCTCTTTTTATCCCAATGGCTTTTTTTGCATACATCCTCATCCATTTGAAAATAGAAGTATTGTGTATTGTGAAGGATAGTGTATTAAATAAAATTCTACCTAAAATGTTACAAGTTTCTCCGATCGTTATAGCATTTACATGTATATAATGTTGTCATCTCGAGAGCAAATTTTTAAAAAACCCAGAGTATTCCCCGAAAACAACCCAAAGGGGCCCTGAAAACTCTGGGAAACATTTTATCCGGTCAGTATTGAATAGAAGCTTTTGGAAAGTAGAGTCACGTGTCACATTTCTGATTGGGTGACTATCTATCCTGCTACTATGTTTAGTAGGGTTCTAGAACCTTCCAGAAACTCAAGGTCATCTGGATTGCTATAAGCACCCTCAATTTTCTGTACATAAATTAACCTTGAAGTAAAGCGTTCTGTCTATATTTCGCGCCTTTTCTCTCGTGTTCAACTTATTGTATAGATTTGGCCTGGGGTTGTTAGAAGAGCTTAGGAAACCTATTCAAGCGTTCAGTCAGAAGATTTATCACAAATATTTCTGGCTAAATGGATTGTTTCCACATGGTTTTGTGTTATTAGACTAGTTAAATATTGTATCTAGGTTACTAGGGTCAATCTTCATTTCATATTTTGTGTTGCGATATTGAATCCATTAGATCGAGTCTGATTACCAAAGCTATTCAATCTACTAATATGGTTGCATAGGAATTCAGGCCAATTTTGTGGATATGAGGACATGATATATTGAGTCAGTTGGTTAACACTAACGGTAATACTACTACTCCGTTCACTTTTATGACTTAAACTGTGGGTGAGTTAGTTGTAAACTGACAGTATTGGACAACAGAAATTTCTACAACACAATTTGTCCTTTTCTTCTTAGTGAGTTTCGTTAAAACTTTGTTAGGCATTATGGGTTTTGTTACAGATCAAATCATCACGTGTTATCGTATAATCTCTTTGTTTGTTTTTGTGTTTGTGTATTTTTTTATTTGGAGTTTAAAGTCTTTACAATTATCATTTTCATTATATTCAAGATAAAGATGGTCATAAACTCGGTTCACATGCTGGTGATTTATTGCATGAATTTCAAAAACGTCGTATTGATAGAGAAAATTCTCAAGTGCTCGATACTACTACCGGTGCTAATGGCGAAGATCAATCATGTCCAGTTACACCTGTTAGTTGTTGTCTTTTTGTGTTTTTATCTTTTATGCATTACCTCTTTATCGTTTGTTTTGTCATTATTGAGTATATAAATCATCAAGTGGATAAGGCTATTTCATTAATCTGTAGCTCTTGAAACGATGGAAAAAAATTTTGCAGTTCATGTGATTGATTTTGGTATTATTGAGTTCTCTGAGCCTGATAATTCAATTACTGAGCCTTGAATTTTGTCTTGAACAACATCATCAGGACCTAATTTATGTAAAAATGAGCTTTTCAATTATAGATCCTCAATCAGTAGACACTGAAAAAGATACAGTCTATCAACCCCTGTTGTAGCAAAAATCAATTAATCGTAAGTTAGCGGAAAAAACACAATATACATGAGTGCAAAAACAATAAATACTGCAATACCCACGATGATATTTGTCCAATAACTGAAAAGCTCATTTCTACATAAATAAGTCGCTGATGGGGTCAAGAATGACAATGAAATCTCCCTAATAAATTATCTAGACCAAAGAACTTTACTAAAAATATTTTGTTGAAAATTTTAAAGGTTTAGCAGGCATATATATTTATTCTTTAGTTAATTGGCTTTGCATTATGTGTAGCCTAGCGTTATCACTTGCAAATACTCATATTGTGCAGATTAAATATAATCTAAAACAACACCACCATTTCACAAAATTATTGATTTCTCTTAGACTTATAAGGGATTGTTAATATGTCGGTTTATTTGACTAATATAAATTACTCATGTCCGATGACTTAACGTGGTAGTAATGTTGTGCAAAATTAATATCATTTGTTGTTATTTAGTCACATTCAATGTTCATCTTATTATTTCTAATACAAATCTTTTGGTTTAACTAGAAATTTTATGCCAATTTATTTCATCAATATCTATTTTTCTCCCTACTTATTATTTAACTTTCATATAGAAATTATTAATTTCTATCTAAATCTCTGTAGCTTATGATTTATCACCCTGTAACAGTCAACTACTCTAACTTCATTCAAGCAAATTTATCATATCTATATAATCCATTGCATACTACCTCTCTTTTTCACCTATAATCCCGCACTGATTTAAATCCCACAAAAAAATCATATTTTTGTCTCGTTTGACTATTTAATTTTATTATCGGGGTTCATTTATAGATATTCTCTTCTTAATCGTAAACTATTTTCTTTCTACTTATTTTATATGATCAATCAATTTCAGAAATGTTATTAGTTGACCGCTTTATCTTCCAACTTTATCATGATGAAGTGACAGACGGACAGATAAATACAACAACTGTTACATAGATCTAAGTTATTGTATATAGTACGATAATAAATGAAAGTCTGTAAAATATGATCGTGAATATCAATAAATGGGTAATAAACTGATAAAATGTAAAAAGCTATTTTGAATTTATTGCCAGATACCTAAAAAAGTCAGTCGTTTACAGTATTTTGGTCTGACTTTAGTTATGTTATCCCAAGTAATCTATTCATCGACTTTTTACTTCTTCCATAATCCAATCATGAAACCAAAGTATACATTTACTCCACCTATAATTATTTAAAACTATTTTGTCTTTTCTTTCTCGGTTTTCCGTCCATGTGTCGATAGTGCTGTCTACCCTATTGACATCTTGGAGGCTCTGTACGCAAACACATGAGACAGGACAAGGTTCACCTATCTCATTTGTTCCTATCAAACACTGTTACAAATGTGTTTTACAGATGTCATCTCAGTGGCTTACATTTTGTAGATTAATTGAAGAAACTGAGATGGATTGAAGAAATAGCAGGCTTGTTTAGTTTATGACATGATGTCGTGGTATGAAAGCTAGGTGTATAAGACTAGCATTTGCCAGTCCATGGGGTCCTGGAGATAATGCAACTCAGTAGTTTGAGTTGCTATTAGATAAGGATCAAAATAAAAACCAGTGGCAACCTTACTGTAGTTTCCTACTACACTCTTCATAGTAAGATGGGTTTCACAAACTGGTAGAAGCTTTCCTTGGCTTTATATTTAAGTGAGGCTTAATAAATATTATCTCTGTTAACTTCTTTAGTGATAATATTACTACTACTACCCTTCTTCTCTTTAGTTATTCAAAATACTATCTTATTTGTGTGGGGCATATTTTTGGTGCTCTGTCGCTCCAGAATGTACTTGCTCTAAATAAATGGATTTAAAAAAGTTATAACGTTTAATAAACTTGTCTGATGACAAGTTGTATTTCATTCTTGGATTCAACATCCGTGATGTTAGAAAAATCGATTTGAGCATCTTATGTTTGTTTAGTTTGTCAACTAACTCATTTTTCTCTTTTTATACAGATCATTAGTCAAGCTACAAAAAATCCTACTCAGCTGTCTGAAACTATTGAACCTAATTTAAATGAAAAACCATCTATAGTTAATTCTTCCTCACAACCACAGGCACAACGTACTGACATGGATAGACCATGTAAACTTAATGGTGAAGTGTCGGACACCTCTGATACCAGTCCTCAAACTCCACGTTACATACCTGTAACAATTTTAGAAGATAGTCAACCAATACGTTGTATTGCATTTCATCCATCTGGACGATTATATGCTGTCGGTTCGAATAGTAAATTTTTACGTGTATGCCAATATCCTAGTTTACAGCACCTTAGGTGAGTTTGTGAACAAGCTTTACTTCCATTTTTTAATGAGTGTGTACGTTGGACCTGTTGGATCACTTTGAAATCGAGGTGATTTGGGTAACTATTACCACTGATTGATCCATGACAAGAAAAATTAACGCACAAGTAGAAAAAAATTGCTTCTATGTGAACATTCTAAGGTTATACATGTCATAATCGCAAATATTAATGTACAGCACTTCACTGTGTAAGCTTATATGACATGAATAATAAACTTACATACTACCGTGATCATTTGAATATCTAAAAACATTTGAAAAATGATCTATTATATGATCTGTTCAATTTTAATTTCTCGTCGTATTATCTGTTATATGTGTTTCTTATGTGTAATGGATATTACACGGTAGTGATCTTCATCCCTGTTATTTATCATTCGTTTATTTAAGCAGAGCGACGTTTCTTCTCGTAGTTTTTCATCCTATTATCTGTTTCGGTTACCTCCCTATAACTTTACGTTCAAGTTCATAAATTTTTTTTTCATGACCTAAAAGTAACTAACAAACATGTGATTAGTTTTATTTATTCGTTAAACCTATTACACTCCGATGATCGTCCCAAGTGAAGATAATTTTTGTCATCCAGTAAATATTTTTTAATGTTTTTTTCTTGTAGTGCTAATCATGTAGCTACTTCTCCAGTAGTTCTAATGAGGCGTCAAAAATACCACAAAGGTAGTATATATTGTGTTGCTTGGAGTCCAGATGGTCGTATTATCGCAACAGGAAGTAACGACACTACAATTCGCCTACTTCAAATGGATCCAACAACTGGCATACCAGATGCTGCTTGTGGTGATCCAGAAATTGCAAGTACCGCTGGACAAGCCATTGAACTAAGATATCATGATGGTACAGTACGAGATATTGCATTTCTAGTAAGTTTTTCAGGATACTATTTTGATTGTCATTGACTCAGGCTACTTGATATAGTAGAAAATAGATCAAAAATAAGTGTGTTGCTAACTGTAACAAAATACTTTCTTTAAACAGTTGTCATATGATAGGTTGACCATGAAGTCAGGTATTTTAAACGACAAACTGTGTTTTTATTAATCAATAAAGATGCGACTAAAATTGACAATTCTTGTTGGTATTCAATTGTCAAACCAACTATTTTACGGTATAATAATTTTGTAGTGAGTTTAAATCGTTCGAACACAAGACGACCTACAGTAGTCATCCGACTATGTTATGTGTTTTCTTATAAAAAATCGAGACAGTGGTATTACAATAAATTATGCGCACTCATTTTTGTCTGGCTATTTGTTTAATACAACTTTGTATTGTAAAATAAAATAAGAATACATAAACTGTACATAAATTAAATTAATCAACTGAGATCATGCGAACTCAGATGTCTTATAGTTGATTACAGGTGTCTATTTGACATACTGCTGGTAATTGTGCTTCTGTACATCTCCCCTGAATATATGTGATGTATATCAAATAAGACGCTTATAAATATTTAACTACAAAATTAATTATATGGAATTACTTTATCAAACATGTAAAACAATGTAAACTCTTTGAACAATAATCATCTTTTATTTCTGTAGTCGAAATTCTAAACAGTATGGAAAGAATTCTATTTCTTCTACAGTATAGTACATTTCGAAATCACTACACTACTTGATAACAATTTCCTTTAAAAAAAACATTCAAAAGTATGATTATATTCAGATATCACAATCACTGTCTGCAATCTGCCTATATTTTTTTCCGTATCAATTCTTTAAAAATAATGCATTCATTACTGTCAACTTCTTATCCATACAGATCTCTTTTAATTAGTGAACATTGTATATTCTCGTGCGAAACTAAAGGCCCTGGGTTCGAGTCCTGCGTACGGGGCCATGGATGCGCGCTTCTGAAGGGTTGCATATTTGGACAAAACGGCCGCCCAGCGCTTCCAGGTTTTCAATTGTGGTCTTGCTTAGATTGACTCATGGATTCAACTTTAGAAAACGGTTTGAATTTATCGTCTAAGTAGTGGAATCCGCTTATTTATTTTTATCCACGAATTTCATACTAAAACGTACTACTGTTACAAACGATTTCATAATGAATCGACTAGTCTCTGATTATGTTTCAAACACAAATAATTACGCTACCTCACTATCTGATCAAATTACTGCAATCGATAAAAGTTAGTTGTTTAAACACCGAATTAAATCCTGTAATCTACCGTGTTGCCAGTAAATAATAATAACGTAAAACGTTGCTATAACGACTGGATCACACAACTTTTAACCAATAAATTACAAGTCCAAATCCCTCCATCACTTTCGGTTTGCTCAGTCTAACTGTATCACTAGCCCTCATACCCGAAGTAGTGTGACTCAAAGTCAATTACGCAAACATTTGTATGGTGAATAAGTTACATTAGATTACAAAATGTGTGAATTGAAATAACAGTTTTTAGCAAGTTACGTTATTCCAGTAAACGTATTTTAAATTTGTTTGTTTGTTTATTTTGTTTTACAAATTAAATCTAGTTAGGAAGTTATCCATGTTCGGATACAATTACAAGTACACCAAGTAGTCATTTACTAAGTGCTGGTGCAGGCGATTCTCGTATTTATCTTGTTGATTGTAATCGAGCCCAAACATTTGATCTATCTACACCGAAGTCCACTCCACCTAATTATGTTGTACGTTCAATGTCTGGGCACACAGCTGCAGTTTATTCATTATCTGTATGGAGTCCTGGTTCATTGTTCGTTTCTGGTAGTGCAGATGCTACTGCACGTTTATGGGATTTACGAGCTCCAGCTCCTGTGTTAATTGTTCCATCTTATTCAGGTTCACAAGGTTAGTTCTGTCTATTTTTATGTCTGTGTACACATGTTAGTTTTACCTTCTATTACTATACTAGAAAACTGAATTCTTATAAATGTTTCAATAGTGATCTGACACAATCGTCAGAAGTGGTTCACTAGAGTTATTAGTACACGTTTGTAGCTGTAGAATTCAGGTTTGCTTTCCAGGTTGTAAAGAAACTGGTTGATGTTTAGTTCTCCTGAAAACCAATGTAAATTTACCCTCTAACTGTGCTTATCTATAATTTCAATCTAACTTAAACCGATCTATATATTTACCATATTCTACATTCTTACCCTACATTATCATAAATAATAAGTAATAGTATTAACATATACTGCAACTAATCGATTATTTATGTATATCATTCCATGATTAAATATATTAGATATGATGTAAAATGGGACTTCATTTGTTTACCTTCATATTTGAAGTATTTCTATCGATTGATTTTTTTGGTCGTACTTTTTAATAATAATCACAGTTAAAAATACATAACTAATCTTACACTATTGTTTACACCACTTAGTCGCTTCGTACACATATGTGTATAGTGGTGGTCTACGAAATGTTCGCAGGAAAATATGGAATATGCTTTGTAGATACCACAGTTAGTCTATTTGAAGTAAGCAATTTAACAATGTCATCGACAGCAAAACCGAGATATCTTTTAAACCATTTTGTTCACCAACAAATGGTTTGGTACCGTGTGTCTAATGATTCAACAATGGGTAGGGTAATAAGTGTTAACGGTAAGTACCATCAGTATCAGATAATATTAATGTCCCTATCCATCAGTGGCCAGTATACGTGGTTGTGTGGCGGTGAATTCATGCGCCGCATGCCAGGCTGACCTGAGTGGAGTTTTTTTAATACTCGGTGTTTGAGAGTAGCTGAAATGACTTGACACCCCCCACTCAAACAACAGGCATGAATTAGCAATAGACAATGCATCACATCATTGGAAATATTCCATTAAGCCGTTATTGACTTTGTTCAACCGTTTTCCACATACTTAATGACGGAGGAAGTCATTCAGAATTTTCTAAGAGCATACAGAATAACTCCGAACCCAGCTTCACCTAAGGGCGCATGCTCAGCTAAAGCAACGTTCGGAAGAAAGACTTGCACTTCATTTTGACACCACGTATCCACAGACGAAAAAACATGACTATGAAATGTGAATTATTTCATTGTTACTTCTTGTTATATAAAAAGTCTCCCACAAAGCTCCATTTCTTTCTCTCTGTCTGATTATCTGCTTATTTTGTATATTTGTCATTCTGTCTGTCTATTTGAGTGTTATATCCACATGCATTTTATAATCATTCTCCATTGTACTGATTGTACAACTCAATCCAATTATAACAAATTGTATTATCTAGTTATTTCGTTCTTTTGAATTTGTGTTCTTTATTCAGGCAGTGCATTTGCTTCAGTTACTGTTGAGCCGAATTGTAATTTACTCGCTAGCGGACATGAGGATTCAACAATATCATTATTTGATCTACGTGGTGCTCGTTATATCAATGCATACAGACCACATTCAAATGAAGTGCGTAGTGTACGATTCTCACCAACTGCTTATTACCTACTATCAGCTAGTTATGACAAACGTGTTATATTAACCGACTTTCATGGTATGATCGATGTATTGTGTTATTGTTTTTTTTTCTCTCCCTTGTGTGTTTATTATAAATACTGGTTAACTTTTGTTATCTAACGTTGTCTATTTATTGAAAAACAATTATAGTTTATCATTGATATTAATAATATAAACATGAGAATTTGAAATTCATCGACCGTCGATTTTCAGATTATGTGAATTTACCGTCTAGAGTTATTATATTCTAATAATAATCTATTATGAGATAAGTTTGTTGAGAGTAATATTGTGCTCTTTCGCTGTCTAATACAGTCACTACCATCTTCTTCGTTTTCAAGCCGATACACCTATGCAACTGAAAATGTCCAAAACTGTTTGCATAAATTTATTGCCAAAAATGCAAATAATTATATTTGCAACTCATACGTATTATATAAATCCCCAATCATTTAAATGTTTTTATCATGGTTAATTATTTCACTCCATAAGTATTTTATAGTACATCCAATGTTTCACCATATGCTCTTCATAAAATCTGCAATAAACTGTATAACTTAATGAATGAGTTTATCTTTTTTCCTTTTATAACAAGGTTTTATTATGTATTTATAAAATTCACAGTATAAATATCAGTTCTATATACACTGCTCCAGTATTTTTAATGCCTATATTCAAATCATCAATTCATTCAAGTTATTAAACTAATTGATCTGTTTTTTTGTTTGTTTTTGTTTCTTTCAAAAATCGTGTTATTGTCCATCAAAATATTTAGGTGATTTATCTCAACCATTGCCTTGTGTTCAATTAGCTGAGCATACGGATAAAATTATACAAGCACGTTGGCATCCTAATCAATTATCATTCATTACCTCAAGTGCAGATAAGAGTGTTATTTCATGGGCATTACCCACTGTGTGATATAATATATATATTCTCCCAATGATCTCTTTGTTTCTATAGATACTAGGATAAATTTATTCATTTCTCTCTCTCTTTCTTCATATACACGATTTTTATTGTATGTTCCACATGCCTTCTTATATGATATATTCAGCATCTGAATAATTGTTTTCGTAGTATGCGCTTATTTAAACTGTTTATACAAAATTATTATTATACCCTTTACCTACATACATTAAAATCAGTTTATAATCAAAATTTATCTTTTATGTGTGCCTAAATTGTTTATAGTGCAATAGTACGCTTGATATCCTGGTGGAGCTCATGGATCATATGTTATTTACTATTTTTTATTGATGTATCGAATACTCTTTAAATGAGCTCGTCTCAGTTTGTACTTGTATCACTTTTTATGGGTATGTGTTGACTTGCTTTCAGTGTGTATGTTTGTTTGACTTTCCAGCTATACTTCCCAATATAATATTCAAGAGATATATATTCATTATGTTTTAGTTTGTGCTATTAAAATTTTCATTTTTCACTGATTATCTTTCAGCAGAAATAAGATACTTTTCAGCTTATTAAAGTTCGGTGTTCATATTTACTAAATTTTTACACTAGATATGCTGCCTCAAATGGGGGAAATTCTCGACTACATAGTGTATACATTTCTACTGTGATACAGTTGTCTTTTCTTTTTACCTTCTTCAGCACTATCCTTTATCTGTTTTCTGTCATTTTACTTCATGCATCCACGGTGTTTTAATATTTATTATTACATTTTCCTAAAAAATCAACTTATTTCTATCATGTATTTAGTTAGTTATTCGTTCGAAATAAAGCATGAAATTGATCCCTATCAAACATATGATCCGTGTTGGTAAATCAATCTGTTGTTTCGTTTTAATCATTTAAAATAAATAAATAAAATTTGTTTCGTTTAAATCGAGGTAATAAAATAACTCGTCAATAAAAAATTTGTTAACTGAACTTTCAGCAGCAATGTGCATCTTTTATGTTTAAGGGCTAACGATAATAATCGATTGCTTAAGTCGAATTCGGTGGAGAGAGGTTTCAATCTGTAAGTTAAGCGCGTAACCGTTCCACGTTCGTATATTTCCATGTTAACAATTAGTATAAACTGTCATAATTCAAATAATATAAGAGATTGTTAGAGTTCATTACTCATGGCATATCCGAGCTCTACGTTTTTCTACCAAAGTACAGATATACTAAACAGCAGTATAGTCTCTCATTCTGATTATAAAAGTGGTTTATGATAACATCTACACGTTTATCACATTTGATTATGTCATCCGCGTACCGCTTATACAGACACATCTTCAGAATTGAGTCTTCAGCTAAATTCTCTACATGTCCCATAAGCACATCGGCCAACAACGGTTCTAAAGGGCTACCCATAGCTACGCCATCGATTTGTCGGAAGCGCTTGACCTCAAAAATGAATTTCACATTGTCAGTACATAATAGTAATAAATCTTTAAGGGTTTTTAACAGAAATTGGCAACGGAATGTTATTTAATGAAATATAGTCACATAAAGTATTATCAGCAAGAACGATGAGGATAGGAGACGAGGACGGTCACTTACATACAAGAGAAATAGCACTGGCCCCAAAACTGTACCCTGGGGCATTCCACTAAGCACAGTTTCCCAGCTAGATAACTTTGAGTTCACCCGTACTCTTTGTTGGCGCCCAACTAGGAAGTCTTTTATCCATATCAATAGATTACCTCCAATCCCGACATTTCTTAGCTTATGTAACAGCCGGTTGAGCGGAACTTTGTCAAAAGCTTTAACAACCACACTAGTTAGGCTAACGGGGCGGTAGTTCTCAGGTTTGTGTTTCGTACCTGTTTTGAAGACAGGACTTACTATGGCGTTTTTCCAGTCTTTCGGTAAGCGACCCTGCGTAACGGATAGGTTAAAGCATGTACTTAAAGGGCTTGCAACGAAGTTAGATAATTCCTTCAGTAGCCTAGGATGTAATTCATCGGGCCCCGTGGATTTACCTATGTCAAGCTTATTTAGCAGACCAAAGACATCGAGTTCTTTAATGGTCACGCTATCCAGTGTATGTATGGGGGATCTGTATACGCTGACGGAAGGGCGCTTCTATGGTATATACGTTGCTAAAGTAGTTCGAGAACACTTGAGCCTTACCAAAGTCGTCCTCCACTAATGATGAAGCAGTACTGTCTCCCCATAGAGCAGGAATATTTCCTTTTCTCCTTGTCCTTTGGTTTATATAGGAATACAAGCGTTTAGGACATTCTATGGATTCCTTAACAAGTTTTTCTTCGTACAATTTTCTAGACTTACGGAGGGTCGAGGCACAAGTATTCCGAGCCTTTCGATACTGAGATTTTGACTCATCAGTCCCCAGTAACCTAAATCTATCCCACATTTTCCTTTTCTTACGGAGAAGGATACGGACCTCCCTACTGAACCATGGTGGTGAGTTTTTCGGCCCCTTTGGTATAGTCCAAGGGATGTGAGGTGTGGTAACTTTTAAGTATGAATTTCGAAATGCGTCCCAGGCCGTTTCAATGGAGGACTCTGGGTCTATTGTCCAATCTATTAACGATGCTGAGTGCATGATGTCTGGTATGTTTGCTTTCCAGACGTTGGGTCTGGACTGGACTGACGCGTCCTCATGACTGGCAGTTATATGGAAGTCGAAAGTTAAAACTGCGTGGTCACTTTTACCTAAGGGTGGCATATGATGGAGGTTCGCAACATCATCCTCATAGTGAGTCAGTATAAGATCTAATAAGGATGATTCAGTGTCCGGATCGTACCTAGTCGCTTCTTTCACATGTTGCACTAGGGCACATGTGATAACCGCATCAACTAGTTCCTGCTCGAAGGAATTTTCTGACGATTTGGTTCGCAGATTTTCCCAGTCTACCATAGGTGCATTAAAGTCCCCTAGGATTAGACATCGACCACTTTGGGACCAAGTATTGAGACTGCTTAACAGGATCTCATTTGCCTCACAGCTTGGACTGCGATAGACCAAACCAATCAGCAGCTCTTGTCCCTTGCATTTCAAGCGGAAGCTAACTAATTCACACGTCCCTTTCACATGGGTTACACTGTCGATAATGGCAAATGGGATAGCATTCCTAATGAATAGAGCTACTCTCCCTCCTTTGCGCTTTTGTGTTCTGTCGGCCCTTACTAACATAAAAACCCCGAAATCAAGTTCCATACTATCTATAGACTGAGCCAGGTTTCTGTGACTGCGATTATGTCTGGCTTTGTAGAGTCAATCTGTATACCTAGTTCCGGTCGCTTATTGAGTAAGCTTCAGGCATTAGTTGAACAGATCCGAAGCCTATTTAAGTGGCCTCGTGCTTCACCCAGAGTGGTTTGGGCATCATTCTCTGTCGAAGCCTTACAACCCAAAAATTTACAATTTTTATATCCTTTTCGCCAGCGTCTAACCTAATTTGTAGTTCTTTTTCGGCTTCCTGTCTTTTTACGTGGTCTGCCAACGACAAGTCCTTACGGATAAAAACTGCTGAACCCTTTAATTTATGTCCATTCTGTAAAATTAAGTTGCGCTCGTCCGAAGACTTGAATGCTACTTTAAGCAGTCTGGATCGATTAGGCTTCAAGTTCGCTAGACTACCTAGTCTGTACACCCTTAGCAAGGTGACCCCGGTCATATTCTGAGGCATGAGTTGGTTAAGCAGGTGCCTAATCAGCACAATGTTATGCTCAAAACGAGCTTTAGGTTCAGAGCTCTCGCTCTCCTTGATTCTATGAAAAATAGCTGATCTGTCGCCATGATCAGCTTTCGATTTTTCAACTACTTTTACGGGGGCAGGGTTCACTTTTATATCCCTACTTTTCTTCCTTACAACCTGTACCCATTCGTCGACGGTGCTGGTAGAAGCAATAACAGTTGCGTCAAACCTAGTGTTGGATTTTGGGGCGTTGTCGACGACCTGAGAGGTCGGGTTATGTTTACCGCTTGAAACCGATCGAGCCTTGCGATTGCGGCTTCTAGGTGTTTCCTGTTGGATCCCATCTGGGAGACGGGGAACAGAAAACCCTACTTTCCCTGAGCTTTTGTTAAAGGCAGGCCCCTTTGGAGACTACTTTTCTTTCTTTGACGGGCGTGAGTCATCAATCATGGACTAACCTGAGTTTCCGTCACGTTGATTCGCGTGTCGACAGATCATGTGCTGTTTGACGCGTTCCGACTATGCTTGCTAAAACACTTCTTAGCAGCATCAACCAGTGAGATGGCCTCGGTTAACCAGCTGTATGCATCCGAGCAACACTGTTGACAAAGCCATACACAGCCCTTCGTACTGAACCGTTTGAAAGCAGCAGGCGTTAATTTCGTGCAAACGTCGTGGTACCAGCCTTTGCACTCGTCGCACTGTATGCCGCTTTCAACCGGATAACGACAACCCGGACGTTGGCAACTGCTTTTTTTACACTGTCCGGTCATTTAGGAGGGGTTTTTTCAAGATGCGATGATACTCAGAAACAAAAAAAATAATCAATGACCAAAAAAGTGAAGAGCTGTAGATTGCTAGGACCAAAAGTACCAACAGATACAGTTGAAAAAGAGGTACTCAAGAGTACAAACGACAAAACTAATTGAGAGAACAGTAAAACGATACTCTAGTCGAATAGTTTAACTGAAATAAATTCAATTAAAGTGAAAACAGTAGTCTTGATACGTAATAAACGATCAAAACAAAGAAATTTACTCAGCGAGGAAAAATACCACTGTCCTTTGTAAATAGCGCGCGTCGATGAACTTGCCAACTATTTTCTTGCTGTAAAAATTTATCAATGATACTCAACATGGATTTCTTAGAAATCGTTCTTGCATGATATGTCATTTTGACTTCTTTAATTTAATCTATTCTCTACGTAGCCAAGGATTTCTAGTCTTGGTGCTATATCTGGACATTTCTAAAGCCTTTGACATGGTTAGCCACCAACTTCTTACAGGTAAGCTCGCATCTTGT